GTTCAAGTTTTTCGTCTGTTCGTCCTTTTCTCTCTTTTTTCTCTTGGAGACCTGCTGGGAGACTTGTCCACTTTGGAGGCTGGTCCCCTAGTCTTTTCCAGATACGAGTGTCACAATAGAAGAACGGTCAGGGTGGCCGGGACCTTTTAGGAGTTGGGGCTCGGGACACAAGCGTGACAAGCGTATCCGTAGGCTAGGCGGTTAGCGGACAGGTCGAAGGAAGGGTGTGGCTGGGGGTTTATGAGGTTGGACGATGGCGGGCCCCTTGAAGCTTCACCAAGGTACAGTGACGTCGATCAGGTTGATGAATGAGACCGTCGGCCTTTTTTCTTGGACGAAGTCGTGATGAAGCTCCGGACTGGCAATGATTAAAGGGGATATCGCAGTTGACTGAAGCTTGGATAGCTGGGGGTATCCCCCCTGAGAGTGGATATGGTTGACAATCAGAGGCAATGAAGAAAATGGAGATTCAACAGCAGCAGGGGCATAGCAAGATGATCAACGGCAAGAAAAAGTTCAAGTATGGATAGTCATCCGCTCAAAGCCAGTTATGCAAACAAGCCTCAAAAGACCGGCCATTCCTCGTTTAAGCTTGTTGAGTGACCCGGGGGGACAGCTGCCGCTTGCGCCGGCACGTGTGAGTGGTGAGAATAAATGGGCTTGGTGAGCAGTCAACGCGAACGTGGCAGGGCATACGCGGACACGTCGACGATCTCTGGGCCGCTGAAGGTCCCGTACGAAGCGTGGAGGCGTATGGGGTGGAGAGGTTAGAGAAGCAGGTGAAGGCGGAGGAGACGGCACAGAAGTGGAGAAGATGAAGGAGTCGAGCTACGGAGGAGGGGACCGAAGGGTCCGTTGGAGTACCCGAATGTCTTCGAAACCTCAACTTGAATCTCGCGTCCTAGGCCAAGCCTTGGGCCAAGAGTTGCCTAGACTTTAGAGAGAAGATAGTCACTCATACAGACCATGCTGGCCAGGTCTCATGTTTTTTCATTGACTGCTGTCGCAGACAGCAACTCAATGGTTGCCCCATCGAAAAGTAGCATGTGCTTTTTGCTGAATCTTTCTCGGGGCCGAGGGCAGAAAGACTCCAAAGCCAAGGAATGCATGGTCACCAAGTGGCTCTTCGTTTGACCCGAGTAAGGTATCCATACAGGTAGTCTGAGAAAGCCACCCAAGAGCCTATGCTCCAAGATTCTGGGGCAAGATGAACCGGTCCCCGAATGTTTGAAGGACGAGAAGGGAGAACACAGGCGCCGCAACAACCCCTGACCCCTGACAGAATGGTCATCCTTCCCTAGGGGGAAAAGAGGCACGGAGCATCCTGAACGGACAGACGAGTGAGTACCGTAGGTTATGGACAGTACGGAGTAGGTATCCGTAGATGACCTTGCAAACTGCCTTGCCGTTCCGACCACCTGGCTGTGCGTTCCCGCTTGGGGTTTACTGTGTACTCGACTACTTCTACTGTGTGGCGTTCGACGCATCAGCCCACGCGCAATAGAAGGCTAAGAAAGTTCTTCTGCCGCCCTTCTCTTACGTGGCGTGCATGGCCGAAGGATGGCACACACACACAATGCCCGCAGCTCATTCGTCTCACCGAAACATTCCACCGTAGAAACAGATGCACGCTACTACACTGCTGTACGGTACCTTGGCAGTTAGACCAAGGTACACACAGAGGCCAAGCCGGGCTGAGCCTCATTGAAGACGCCATCGATTGCGTCCAAGATGTTCCCTTTTTGACGCGTCCCAAGATCAATTGGTGAAAGGAAAATGTAACCCACACGTTGGGAAAGATGCGGTGACAGGTTTGATATAGCCACCCGCAGTATGCTAAGAGGAAGCCAAGTGATCGAGACCAGGACTGATGTATAGAATGGATGAGATCATTAAGAAGGGTGGAAGGCTACCGACAAGTCTGAAAAGGTCACATCTAGAATGTCACCGCGGGAAGAAGAAATGAACCCCAGACAAAATCGATTGGCGATCATCCGGGTGCCCCGACGCATTGCTGTCTGCACTCAATCCGAGTCTTGGCAACTGACTAGCTTCACAGATTCCCCGACTTTGGGAGGGAACATGCTGGTTCACGTCTTGATACTTGACGACACTGAATGATCCAGCAACTCAATTCTTCCCCATAATGTATCCGCACTACCAAAGCCCCAGGTTGGACTGCATCAACCCAAACACCATGAACGAGTGACGGTGAGTAATGCCGCGATTACCGACCCAACAGTGGTGGCGTATCGACCAGATCCAGGCTCCTGTCATCTCTGCTCCAGAGACTAACTGGCGCCACCGCTGCCCGCCCTACCGCCACGACCAGTGGTTCATGCCAAGGGTGTTGAGGCGACGCTCAATTCCATCATCAGACTTTCAAGGTTTGCAATGCCATGCCGTGTTGGAAGCGCCCGAGCACCACTTTGGTGTCAGGTGGGTGACCAAATGGTTTAATCCCTAATTACTTTGCGATCTTGCCTCTACTTCTATTCGCTTTGCTGGAGGTAGTTTTCGTGATACTAGACGCATACTTTGCAAGAGACGTCAACTTTAATAAGTGTAATAAGGGGATAGTAATCCCTGTAGTTATGGAAAAGGTGATAGTCTGTTAGGTATGCATTGGCCGGCAACACAATTTTTCATCCATCACAGTGTATAGCAAGTCTTCAGTTCAACTCACAGTGCCTCCCGAGTTCCCTTCTCTATTGCATACTCGGGCTTCAGTATTTGGGTGGTGGCCCTTTCTCCTTCACACTCAATGCCAGCTTTCTAACTTTCGCACTGATTTCGAGCAAAAAAATCTCGCTCTCTCAGTCCATGGCGATAGTTCCCCTATCCAATTGACCATTGAACGCACCAAGACCCGATCATTTGAGACGACAAAGCAGTGATTATGATGATCACATTGCTTGACCTGCGAATGACATATCAAAATTTTGAAGCTTGGAGCATCCGCAAGCAATGAATGGGCATATGATGTGAAGCCCTCCCTCTCTCAATCTTACTCTTAGCCTCCATAGTCCTCTTTTCATACTCACCCTCACTCTCATACTCACTTTCATTCTCACCCGTACACGACCGGCAAAGAACTCACCCGCCTCACAATGAGGACTCCCGCTCATCGGAAAGCCGACCCCTCTCTCACCCGTCACCCGAACGCAGCCCCGCCTCCGGCCCCCCGCCCGCCCCTCATTGCCGACCTGAGAAGGTAAAGAACCCCGCCATCGTCTCTCAGAGCTCATAGCTCATAGCTCCCGCGCGCGCGCGTATAGCTAAAGCATTTCTAATCACGTCTTATGAGAAAGAAAGCCCCCCTCCTCCCCTCACTTCATCGGAACGCTGACTAAACCATAATTGTGACCTCAAGCGTAATCGGAAGCTATTCCAATACCTACTGCGTAACCGCCCCTCCATCGTCCCATAGGTTCCAGACCGAATAAGAAAAAGAAATTGAGACCTCTCTCCTCCCATCGCAAATGTCCCAATTCCTCATCTCGCGACCCTCCACATCCATTCGCATCCTGACCAGAAGCTCCAAACTCACATCCACCCTCATCACCAACACCAAATCCACGGCAACCCTCCCATCACAACCCTTCCTCAAACAAACTCACCACCAAACCCGCACCTTCATCCCATCACCAACCCACCAAACCTCTCTCTCCCCAGCCCCGCACTTCACAATGGCCTCCTCCTCCTCCCTCCCCCAAACAATGAACGGCATTCAAATCCCCCGCACAGGCGGCACAGAAGTCCTAAGCCACCACACCGACCTGCCCCTGCCACAGCTCGCCGAGAACCAGGTCCTCGTCCGCAACGAATACGCAGGCATAAACTACATCGACACCTACTTCCGCACCGGCCTCTACAAAGCGCCCCTCCCCATCACCCCCGGCCGCGAAGGCGCCGGCACCGTCGTCAAGTCCCACCCCTCCGTCGCGGCGGGCCAGTTCAAAGAGGGCGATCGCGTGGTCTACATGGGTCCCTTTGGATCCTACTCGGGCTACTCCGCCGTCAACGCCTCCCAGCTCCTCCACATCCCCGATGCGCTGCCCACGGATAAAGCCGCCGCCGCTCTCCTGCAAGGTCTCACGGCTTGGACGTTCATCCGCGAGGCGGGCGAGGTGAAGGAAGGGGATTGGGTCCTCGTCCACGCTGCCGCCGGCGGCGTCGGGCTGCAGCTCGTGCAGATGCTCCGGGCCGTGGGCGCCAAGGTAATCGGCACGACGAGCAGCGACGAAAAGTGCGCGCTGGCCAAGAAGAATGGCGCAGAGTACATTGTCAACTCGCGCTCGCAGGATCTCGTGGAGGAGGTGAAGAAGATTACGGGCGGGCACGGCGTGGATGTCATCTTTGACGGTGTCGGGAAGGCTACGTTTGATAGCGATATCGAGATGGCGGCGCGCAAGGGGAGATTGGTCGTCTTTGGCAACGCGGTAAGCTCTACCTCACAAGAATGCAGAAATGGGTCTCCAGGAGCATCACTAACATGTTTTCTCTAGTCGGGAGCTGTTCCTCCATTTGATATCCTCAAGCTGGGTCCCAAGAACTTGAAGGTCATGCGGCCCATTGTCAACGGCTACACCGCGACCAGGGAGGAGCTGGAAAAGTACAGCACGGAGCTCTTTGACATGATTACGTCGGGCAAGGTGGAGGTGGCCATCCACAAGGCGTACCCGCTCAAGAACGTCAAGCAGGCCCACGAGGATCTTGAGAGCCGCAACACGACGGGAAAGCTCATCCTCAAGGTGGATTGACTAAAAGCACTTCTATGATATTGATGAAAGCGGGCCAAACAGAGACGCTGCAAGGGAGGGGTATCTTGAACTTTTTTTCTTTTTTTTTAATTAAATTCTCTCTCTATGGCGGACGTCGTATCATGGCTCTCGCTGCGGATAGCACTAATTCTATCATCATCTATGATAAGCAACCAAACTTTCTTATTTTCTCAAGATGTGGCTGATGCACCGATACATATTCGTCCCTCTTTTTGCTTAGCCGCTTGTGGGCTTGGCGTTGGCAAGGAGCTCAGGGGGAGGGTCCTGGCGATAACCCTTGGGGTTGTTGCTGACCCAGCGCCAGAGATCCTCGCAAGCCTTCTCCAGTGTCTCCTCAGTCTTCCAGTTGAGCTCCTTGTTGGCCAGGGATGGGTTGGCAGTAAGATCGAGAACATCGCCCTGGCGTCTGGGGACAACATCGTAGGGCAGATCGCGGCCGACAACATGGCTGAAAGCCTTGATCATCTCAAAGACGGTGCTGCCACGGCCGGAACCGAGGTTCCAGGCCTTAACACCAGGCTTGTTCTCGCGGAGGTAGTTGAGGGCGCTCAAGTGGCCCTTGGCCAAATCGACAACGTGGATGTAGTCGCGGATGGCGGTACCGTCTCTCGAGGCGTAGTCTATTTATAATCAGCGAGACTTCTCTACTGTTTAGTTATATGTACTTACCATCACCAAAGACGAGGAGCTTGTCGCGGTCACCCGTAGCGACCTTGCCGAGCAGAGGCAGCAGGTTGTAGGGGACGCCCTGAGGGTCCTCACCCATGAGGCCAGAGGGGTGGGCGCCACATGGGTTGAAGTATCTCAAAAGAGCACCGTTAAACTGCTCGTAGGACTTGCCAGCCTTCTTCAGCTTGTTGCGCTCGGCGTTGATGTGATCAGTAATGACCTGCTCGACAAAGGCCTTGGTGTGGCCGTAGGTGTTGGTGGGGCCAATTGGGCAGTGCTCGGGAATGGGAATCATGTTCTCGAAACGGGTGGCATCGCCGTAGACGGTCGCCGAAGAAGAGAAGACAATGTTGGGAACATCGTTATCCGTCATGGCCTGGAGCAGGGAGACAGTGCCGGCAACGTTGACGCGGTAGTACTCGAGAGGGATCTCGCCAGACTCGCCGACAGCCTGTAATCAATGCTGTTAGTTTTCCGTGGTGGGAGGCATTGCAAAGGAGGAAAAGAGCTGACCTTGAGCGCGGCGAAGTGAATGACACTATCAATCTCGGGGTGCTTCTTGAAAACCTCATCGAGGCCGGCCTTGTCGGTGACATCGACCTGGTAGAAGTGGGGTCGCTTGCCACTCAGCAGCTCGATGCGGTCGACGGCAACCTTGGAGGAGTTGTACAAGCTGTCGACAATGACCACATCGTAGCCGTTCTGGAGAAGGGTGAGGGAGGTGAAGGAGCCAATGTATCCGGTACCACTGCAAGCCACGAAATGGAGCGGTTAGCCTCTATGCTCTATTCAGACTTGCGCCAACGAACAACGCCACGGCGGCGGGTTTCAACGGTGCCACAGGCAATTGAATTGCCATAGACTTGTTAGTCAGATGGGAAGAGGTGGTAGCTCACCCGGTAACCAAGACAGTTCCAATGGCCATCGTGAAGAAATTTGCGGGCGTCGATCGCAACTAGATGCGGTGAGGGGTAATTTGGAGGTGGAGGGGGGATAGTAGGTTGACGAAGGGTAGTAAGAGATGCGCGGTCCGTCGGGGTATCAAGTCGTTAGGGTGTGAAGGAGAGCGCAAGTCTGTCGTGAGTTTGAATTTGGAGGAATGACGAAAGGGAATGGTTGTGAAGGATTGCGGGAGGAGGCGAGAGATATATCTGGCGGTTGACGTGAGGGGTGGGAATAATAAGGCGACGGTCGCAATAAGGAAAAAGTAAACGGGGTCGTCTGTCTGTAACGTCCAGGCCGAGTGATGATGTGGGAGAGAAATTGGCTCGGCCATGAGTGCCACCGTTCGCGCGCCCACGCCCATGCCCACACCCACGTCTACCGGTACGCCCACCATGCCCACCAGCGAGACCAAGCATTTGGTTGAGTGCGTGCTGCCAATCCCAGAATGTGTTATTGCTGCGTGCTTTCGCAGTAGCGAATTTGGGGCCATTTGGGGCCACCTCAATGTTCCATTTGCAACGGCCAATCTGGCGTGCCAAATTGGAGGCGATGGCGGGGTCTTGCAGGCGGGGGTGGCACCAATCTCAGGCTTTGTGGCTGGCTGCGGAGCCGAGTAATTTCATCCTCGATGCTCTAACGGCGCAATTGTTGGCACGCTGAAACTTGCAACGACCGGGGATCGCGGTGCCGTGGAGACTGATCTTCGTGACGGTGGACGGGCCGACAAGGTCCCTAATGGTTGATCAGGTTGACTGCTTTTCCTTCAGTGTCACCATGTCACTGGCCTGTGAATCTTGCCTTCCAAGACAGATTCCGTGAATACGATCAGGTATCCGTAGACTGACGAACTGCCACGACCTGGGAGTCAAGAGAGAGAGAGATCGGATGACGGATCAAGAGGTGGATGGTCTGGTGGGGTGTGTCCCCGGCGCATGCTCCCCGTATCCGTACTGTTTAACCCTTCCCGGATGTCTCTTTGCTGTTTGTTGGAGCGGCTGAATGGTTGACCGGCCTAGCCTCGCCGAGTAGGTACTTTACTGCCCGAGTTCTCCATATGTGCATTTGCAAGATCCAGTCTGGCACTGCAGTCTTGCCATTTTGTTCGGTTGTTCGCCCGAAAGAACGAGGGTGAGGGGCCGGCGGGTTCCCGTGTTTGTGAATGGCAGCGGAATCGAGGTCAGGTCTGGGCCTAGGTGCCTAGGCACATTGCCTTAGCGCAGACGAGACGGATACCATGGCTCAGGGTTAGTCAATGCCTGTTTGCCGTGCTGCCTGGCGCAGGTCTTGCATTCGGTACAAGCTCTCTGCATATCGTCGACGTTTTGCGCGATATTTCAATGGCAAGGACGTAGGAGTATGGTGGGAAAAGCACGTGTTGGGAATCGCATGTCGATGAATCTCTCCAGGATGAACCAGCAATTCGAGGTGGAGTCGCAAAGGTTGTGAGGTGGGCAGGGCGTGGAGCAATCGGTGACGTACTGCGTGGTCTGGATGAATGAGGTGTTCAAGCCTCAGGTTGAGTACCTTACCTAAGGTAGCTGACCTTATCGGGGTTATCATTATCTTATCATCACGTGGTCGCAAACTTCGACGGCTCAAAAGACACCAAGGTCCTCGCTTATGTAAGATCTCAGACTCGGGCGGCGCGTACCTATGTAGTGGGCCGACCACCGTTGCGGGGACCTGAGGACCACAGCGCGTGCAACGGACACGCTGCAAGGGTCTGAGCTTTCTCTGTCTTTGCGCCCGACCCCCCCCGGTTGCTGGCTGGGCGGTTGGCGGTGGGCGGCTGTCCGTCGCGAAAACATTCCCTTGTCCCATGTCCGGTGTGTGTGTATGTGAGAAGCTCCTCAAGTGAACGCTTCAAGACGGCACAAAGAACTCAACGAATCCTCGGGACATCCCTCGCCTTGCATCACCGCTGTCGCAAAACTCATTCTACTCGACTGACAATTCATTGACCCGCTCATACTGCACCGCCAGCCACATTCCTTCGTCAAGCCCGTCCATCTGGTCCTCCACACCGACGATCCGACGCGCGCGTGGTTTGGCGCGACTTGTGCCTGGAAAAGATGGTCGTTGCGACTTGGGACCGCTCTTCCTCTCTTTGTTGACAAACCGCCTCCCTCCCTTCCCGATCCGGCGGGCCTGTCCCTCTGGAATAGCTTCACTTTGGGATTCTTCTCTCACTTGAAGCTCCTGCAACCACCTCCCTTGCAGCCTTCACAAAGCCTCATTCACATACGACCTTGAACCTCGCGCCAATTCTTCTCGAGGTTTTCCTTTGGCAGCCGCCTCCCTTGTAGCTCAACATAGATCTCATGCTTCAGTGCGCCTGCCATTGTTGACGAGACAAAAGAGACCTCGACTTACGACAAACTGCTTTTCAGAGACTCGTTGAAAACTGCAGCGCATGTCTACCCAAACAATAATAATGTGAGTTGCGTCTTTGCGATCCTTTCTCCTCCCATTGCTTCTTTCCTTCAACGCTCTTTCTTCTCGCGCTTGTCGTCTGTGAGTTTGACCTCATCGTCACTTCCTACTTCGACAATTCTCAGTACCTGATTCTTTCAGCCCTCCTTATTCCTCCTCATACATCGTATCTCTTCTCATCTTCACGATTCAACCCTCTCCGTCTCATCTCACTACTACGTGGGGTTGATTGATCTCATTTGATACACAACCCGCCATCTCAACCCACAACTCACCATCATCACAGACCCTCCTCCGTCACACTGCGCCAAGATGCCACCCAAAAGAAGGGTCCGTGACGACCACGGTGAGGCGCCATCCACGTTGGCCGGTGGTGCTGCCGTCAGTCGAGAGCTGCCTTCGTTGGCATCGCGACTCGACACATCGTACGGATCTGCACCTTCCACGATTCTGCGGAACACTCGCCGTGGTCAACAACGCAATTTGCAAGACATTATCAAGGAAACACTACACGACAGCGACGACCCTGATGACGACCCGGGCGACCCGGGCGACCCGGACAATGGCGACGAAAGCGATGATGGCGATGCCAGTGCCAGCAGCAGTGAGAGCAGCAACAGCAAACAGCCACAAAAGCGTGCTTCTCGACGCACAAGGCAAACAAGGCAAACAAAGTCACCAACCTCCAAACCAGCGCCAAAGACGAATCCGCCGCGCAGAGTACAACCGAGTCCTGATCCAGACCCTGATCCCGACCCGGACTTTGACCAAGACTTCGGCCCCTATCGAGAGTCCTCAGAATCCCCCGATCCACTGAGGGATGCAACACCAGATCCCCTCCACGTCCGGCGCTCACCGCGACGACAATCACCAGCCAAAACTGGTAAGTGCGACCCCGTGCGCGACACCAGGTCTTGCCTTGCCGCGGTCTCACTTCCCTTGCTAAATATCGTCTCAGCTCCCTCCATCGAACCTCCTTCATTCCAGCAAGGCCCTCTTGTTCCTCCACAGCAGTTCTTACCAGGTGCTGCACCTCCAAGAGGGCAATTCTCAACATATTCACAGTCGATGAATAGGAGAGCCAGCTCGGAGGATCCTACTCAAGGTTTGACACCTGCTAGACGATCTCTTCCTGCGGCAAGCTGGAACTCCGTTTTCGCTCGAGCCATATCCGAAGAGCCCTATTCCCAGTCTCGCTCTCAACTCGCCCAAGGCCCTCCGGAGCCGACTCCGACACCAGACTCAGTTCGCACCTTTGGCCAGGAAAGCTCACTCTATGGAGGTGCCGATATTGGCTCAACCCCGTCGCAGTCTCTCTCTTCAGGGCGTGGTGGTCGCATGCGGTCAATCGAGGAGAGCGAGGAACCTTCTCCCCCAAAGCAGCAGACGAGAGGCATAGATCTACTCAGTCCATTGAGGCGCTTAGCACGCGATCCCCGGCACAACGCGCAAATGGCACAGCGAAATATGAACCAGGCAGCTCCTCACCAAGGAGCCATCCAAGCTCCGATCACCAAGGTTTCTGATAGACCTCCTCCCGATCTGCCGCCTTTACTGCCCTCCCAGGGCAACATCCGCCCATCTCAACAGGAGCCACCAAGTACACCGCCATCAGGTCGATTTCGACCGCGCAGCAGTAAATCACCTTACCAGGCGTTGCCTGCTCACCTTGTCAACCAATCTCCTGCTAAAAGAGACTCATTAGGGTCAGTAGCAAGCTCGCGTCAGCTCGCAGCTAATAAAGATTCGGTGTCACCTTCTCCTGCTGCAAGGTCGAGCTCAACTCGTCTGTCAAGTCGTGTTAGCGAAGAGCCATCTCTTGATCATCAATCCCCTCAAGCCTCAAACCGTCACCCTTCACCTCGCAAGCCGCTGCAGGCCGTGAACTTCATTCCTGCTCGCAGAGGGCCGCTGGCTGCCGAAGAAAATCCTGCACCTCCTCGCCCCCTATTTGGCAAACCTCTACCCGTCAATGGTGATCCAGCACCGTCTCGTTCCTTGGCCAACGATCCTCCAGCCATCAGAGTGGAAGCTCTAGGGTCCACAGCGGGCGGAACCGGCTCGACGAGGCTTCCCGGTACAAGTGGCCTTTCTGGCAACAGGGACGGTCGACCAGCACCTGGCCGAGGCGAGCCCGGTATGTTTACTCCCGAAATGCGAGCAAGGATACAGCAAGAGCATCGGCAGGAACGGATCAAGCAGGAAGCCCTTCGAAAGGAGCGCAGTGCTCGTTTGCAGGCATGGCCACGAGTCTACAATACGGTGTATGAATGGACAAATGTCCCTCGACCGGACAGCCCCGAGACAGACGACGACTTTGGATCCGATTCAGATGGCCACATGAACTCGATTGTGACTTCGCGACAGGTTCCCTACAGCGAGTTTTCGTGGGCAAGTTGGATCTTGTTCAAGATTGCTGACGCGTTCGTGGACTTGATCAACTTTGTCTGCTCCCTGGACTTTTGGATTCTCAAGGCTTCGCTCGGCATTCTGCTTCTTTCACTCCTGACATGGGGTGCCTTGACAGGATTGAACTCCACGCCGGCTATTGGACTAGGCGGCATCCAATGGTACGGTCTGTCAGACTTCTCTCACAATTTCGGTCAATTCGTGCCACTTTGGATGTCGCGACCTGCAACGCTCTTCGGCGACGATGACGCTAGGGAATATGTCCGTCAGCAACGCAACCACGAATACGAAATCACAAAGTTGACGACGGCCAGCAAGCTTCATGAGGGATCGCTGTCGCGCTTGATGGAGATCGTTCCCAAGGTTGTGCACATGAAGTTGGACAAGAAGGGACGGCCCGTCGTGGGAGAGGAATTCTATCACGCGTTGCGTGACCTCATGAAGAGCGATGCCGAAGTATTGACGCTGAGCCGGGGCCATGGTGGCTACCACTTCGTCTCCGATGAGAACTGGCTGGCGATCAAGAGCAGACTCCAGAAGGATCCCGTATATCAGAAAGCTGCAGAGCCGCCTACGCCAGGATTATCCTCCGCGGACGTCGAGAATATCTCACAATCCAAGTTCGACAAGACCTGGGAGAAGTGGCTTGTCAACAATAACAAGAAGATTGCCAAAATACTCGAACCCCAGTTTAGCACGTCCATTCCGGACAAGATTGGCAAGGATCTCGAATCCAAGATTGAGAGGTTCGTCAAGGACCAGTTCAAGAATAAGGACACCAAAGATGTCGTGGTGACACGGGATGAGTTCATTCGCCATCTTAAGGGCGAGTTCGCCACCCATCGAAACGAGGTCAAAGCTGAGGCGCAAGAACTGCAGAAGAAGTTGGAGCAGTACATCAATGAATCGGTTGAGGGCATTCTGAAGAAGAGCCCGCCAAAGGGCGTCACCCGGACGGAAATGATCACAGTGGTTGATGGCATGATCCGCCAGGCGATTGCGAATGCTGGACTGGAAGCGCTTGCGCAAGGCAAGATCGGTGCGGTCTGGGACAAAGAACTCCGCCATCAGGTCAACTACTTGGCTCATGGCAGCGGTGTCATTGTAGGAGGCGACCATCTGACGCCAAATTACGTGCCTCCCATCAAGGCCAAACTAGGCACCGAGAGTCATAAGAGATTAACATCGCGGAGTCCCCACATCCAACCACCCGCTGCAACACTGTTTGGCTGGGAGGACGAAGGAGACTGCTGGTGTGGCATGGTTGTTGTGGACAGAGATGGAAAAGAAGGTGGCGTCCGCATCGGCTACATCCTCAGTCGAGAGATTGTTCCCCAGCATCTGGTCGTCGAGCATATTTTACCTGGGGCCACACTGAATCCCGACGCCAGGCCAAAGGACATTGACATTCTGGCATATTACACCGACCTTCACACGCGTAATCGGGTTGCCGACTTTGCGGCAGCCCACTTCCCAGGCAACAAACTCTCGGATGGCTGGGTGAAGATTGGTCAATTTACTTACGAAAGCAGCGACACGCTAAACGGAGCACACGTACATAAGCTCAGTTCGGAGCTTCTTTCCTTGGGGGCCTACACGGATCAAATCGCGCTTCACGTCACCAGCAACTATGGCTCAGACCATACGTGCTTGTACAGAGTGAGACTCTATGGCGTGGAGAACGAGGCTTGAGGAAAAACCGGGACCAAGGATGGGGGGTGGGTAGATAGAATCTTGCAGTTGTCGCGTCTTCGGCGTTGATTCGACTGGGGCCTCACTACATTTGAGCGGGACGCACTGGCTTAGGGATGGCTTTTTGCAAGACGTGAGGATTTTTCAAGCATTCAGGGAACGAGGGATTGAAAAGGCACTTGGCGTTGGGGTTTGACGATACCCCTTGGACTTCTTCTGATGCAGTCCTTAGGCAAAGAGAGTATTTAATGCATAACGTTTTCAGATATTTTTGCTGATTAGCAATGTTCATAGTCCATCTAGTACATGATCAAGCGCTTCTAATGTGGCAGGCTAACTTTTTCTCCTTTTGATTCAATCCTCTCAACGGGGTATATATCTTTTTAGTTCAATAAGCCCGAAGCCAAAGCCTCGAGGTCCTCCAACGTCTCGGGCTCGTGGTCAATCTCGAGCACCTTGCCGCCCTTCTTGGCCTTCTTCTTCTTCTCCCTCTCCTCGTCCGAGTCGTCCTGGAACCACTTCTTGGTCTTCTTCTTTGGCCTTTCGTCCTCGCTGCTGCTGTACTCGCCGCCGCCCTCACCCGCAATCGGCAACGACCGCAGCAGCGCCAACGGATCTTCGTCCTCGCCGTCGTCAGCACCGCCACCACCCGCGACCTGCGGTCCCTCGGCACTCTTCGGGATACCCTCCCCGCGCTCCTCGGCCTCCCTCTGCTTCCTCTTGAGTCTCTTCTCTTTAAGCCGTCCCTTGGCGGCGAGCTTATCATCCACATCAGCCTCCTTGACGCGCGCCGCCTCGCCCTCGACGAACTTTTGCCGGAGTTCCTCCGCGGGGCCTTCCTTTTCGAAATCGTCTTCGTTTTGCAGCTCGTAGATTTGGTGCGCGTTGCCGTCCTCGTCAAAGACGAGCTTCTCGCCGCGGCCCTTGAACTTGAGCATCTTCTTCTTGGACTGGAGGGCCTTTTCGCGGCGCTTGGAGTCGACGATGAAGTCTTGGCCGCCGTAGGATATCACCTTTGGCTTGGCGCCGGGTGCGAGGTTGGATTCGGCGTCGAGTTCGTCGTCGCCGAGGACGCGTTTTACGGAGAGGAAGTCTTCTTCTCCATCCCCGTCTGCGCCGGTGTTACCGGCGGCTGCTGCGGTGGGGTCGGTTGCGTCGCCAGTGACTTCGTCGCCGTTGGCGACGAGTTTGGTGTAGTGGCCCGAGAGGACGTCCTGGTTCGTGCGCTCGAACATGCGGTCGTACTTTGTCCTGACCTCGGGCTTCTTGGGCTTCTTGGGTCCCGCCGCCGCGTCGTCGGAGTCCTCCTCGTCTTCGTCGGAGGACATGCCCTTGCGGGGCGCGTTCTTGACCTTTTTGATGTCCTCGCCCTTGCGCATCTTGATCTGCGGCGCACCGGGGAGGCCGAGACTCGCGGCGTAGGCGTCGAGGTCGAGTTTGTTGAATTTGAAGACCTCCTTGTCATTTTGTAGGTAGATGGAGCGGACGTAGCTGATAAAGGCCTTTTGGCCGAGGTACTTGAGGTCCGGGTTGGAGAAGCACATGCTCTGGAGCTGGTCCTTGATGCTCTTCTTCTTGCTCTCCTTGACGGTGATCTTGTTGATGGGCACCTTCTTCAGCTCGAGGCGCTTGAGCATGCCGGCCTCCTCACTGGGCTCGAGGAAGAGAACGGCTTTTCCGTCGCGCTCGTAGCGGGCGGTGCGCCCGACGCGGTGGATGTAGGTGTCGACGTCTTCGGGGCAGTCGACCTGGACGACCCAGTCGACGGCGGGGAAGTCGACGCCGCGGGCGACGACATCGGTGGCGAAGAGGACCGAGGCGTTTGCGTCAGCAAAGCGCTTTGTGATTTCCATGCGCTGGAGCTGTTTTTGCTTGCCGAGGAGGTGGAGGAGCGGGACACCGGGCTGGAGGTGTCGCATGCCTTCGTATGCGAAGCGGACCTGCTTGCCTGAGGAGAAGAAGACGATGATCTTGCTCTTGAGGTTTGCCTTGATAAAGCCGAAGAGGGTGTCGAGCTTCTCGTGTAGGGGAGTGACGATGTAGTGCTGCTGGAGGTTCTTGGGCGTGGATTCCTCGTGGACGGAGACGTATTCGGGGTCCTTGAGACTCAAGCGCGCGAGGTCGGAGATCTTCTTGCTCTGTGTCGCGCTGAAGAGGAGGGTCTGTCTCGTGGAGGGCAGGTGGTCTACCAAGGCGTCAACAGCGTGCTGGAAGCCCATGTCCATGATGCGATCCGCCTCGTCGAGCACGAGGATCTGGAGGTTATCGACATCGAAACCGGCAGTCTGGTCGAGGTGCTGCAGCATGCGACCGGGTGTACAGACGAGGATGTTCATCTTGGATAGACGCTCGGCTTCCTCCTTCAAACTCTTGCCTCCGATGACGAGACCGGCAGAGAAGTTGTGGTAGCGACCGACCTTGCGGAGGACCTCAAAGATTTGGGCGGCGAGCTCGCGGGTCGGGGAGATGATGAGGGCGCCGAGGCCGTCGAACTCTGTCCATTGCGCGCGGTAGAGCTTCTCGAGAACGGGAATAATGAAGGCGAGGGTCTTGCCGCTGCCTGTCTTGGCGGCACCGAGGATGTCGCTGCCCTTGAGGGCGAGGGGCACGGCGCGGGACTGGATATCGGTGAGGGTCTCGAAGTGGGATTTGTCGAGGCCCTTTCGGGTCGTTTCGCAGAGGGGGAGTTCGGAGAAGCTGGTATATTCGCTCTTGGGATCCTATTAATGGAGCAGACACAGGGTCTTGAGTCAGTCTTTGTCCAAAGATTCTCAACGTCGTGGGCGTGGGTGTGGTGCGCGGGCGCGCAAAAGATACTTACAAAGTCGGCTACGGCCTTCTCGAGCTGCTCGATTGTTTGCTGCTGCTGCTTCCTCTTCTCGAGGCGCGAATCTCTCTTGAGGACCTTTGGCTGCTGCTTCTTCCCTGATCCCTTTGCGGGAGGCTTCGTGGGAGTTGCCATTTTCGTCGTCTGGTTTGCGTCGAGCTCTCTCTCAATACGCCGCGGAGGATCTCAGGAAGGCAAAAAAAAGTTCTGAAGGACCTTTGGAGGAAGCGCCTGGAAATTTTTTGGCGTCGGGTTACTGCAGTGGAGTGAAAAGTTCGGCATTCGGCGACAGGGGACGCCGTCTGTGGGGTTGATAGTTGGCGGGCATTTGACACCTGGCGCCGTCTGGCAGTTCAGCACCCGAGATGTCTTCGACCTTCAGCGCCATCCATGTCACCACTCCTATCTCAGCATAAATTTCAGAATTTATTAATTGCGACATACAAATCTGCGCTCGGTGGACTATGCGACTGTCTGAGTTTGTTACCTTGAGAGTTGGGGTTGTGTGGAGAATGTTGGCTCGAAATATCTCTCTCGGCAGTGTTCAGCGTAAGAGAAAGTTGCTCGATTGTTGATGCCAGTGCGATTGGACTTCTGTAATAATACCATCACTGATTTGCAGTTGACAACAGGCCATGTTACAATGTATCCTGTGGGATCTCATTGAGAATGTTCGAAAATGAGAACAGAATAAACTTAGCATCTTACCGCTGTTGATATCCCTCTCGGCTTCAAAGTAAGATTTTCGTCCTTGCCACCACAAGTCAACAATAATCACATACCCGATAATATGACCCCCACGCGTGCGAGACCAAGCTCAGAAAGTCCCGAGTCCACGGAGATTACCCACATAGCAGAGCTATGCTCGTATTGCGATTTAACTTTCTCATCCTCAGAACTCATATTCGATAATCTGCATTGCGGATAGTCCGGACAAACCACCTGCCCCCCACTTATGTGATCAGTTAGGTACGAATATGTGATAGTGAATATTGGACTCCATACTAGCACATGATGAAATCTGCTCAATGAGGTAGTCCCGATGAATCTGGACCTACCTACTTGCTAAATCTTCCGTGCCAGGCGTTTTTTCTTGCGGACCCCTTCAGAGCTTTCTGCCGAGGTTCTCAGTTTCTCTCCTTTCCGGACATAAGATAGTCGATCTCCATGATTACCAGCCGCTCCATCAATAATTCTTTCAAACCCAGCATGATGCCTTGCCTACAATGACATCGTTCAAGAAATTACTTCAGAATTCTCTGGAGGACGACGTGTTCTCTTCGTTGGTACTCTACGCTAAGCACCGTGATGGTTAGATAATCACGCCAAGACTCGACCCCTCCTTCACAGTTAACACAATGATACTTTAGGATCTGATATCGTGTCCGAATGCCTAGGCGGCCCATCCCCATCATGGCCCAATCAAGCTCCCATCGACAAAGACACTGTCTTTACGCTAGCTTCCTGCTCAAAGCTCCCAGTCACAGTAGCCGTGTTACAGCTCGTAGAAAAACGGCTCCTCACACTCGACGCAGATGTGAGCTCCATGCTCCCCGCTCTGGGGCGTCAGAAAGTCCTGGTCGGCTGGCGTCCAGACGGCTCACCCATCCTCAATGAGCGTCGCAACCCAATAACCCTTCGCCATCTGCTGACACACTCCGCCGGTACGAGCTACTATTTCCAAAACAAAGACCTAAGACGACTTCGAAGTCTCAATGGGAAACTCCCGGCTACCTTGGAGGCTACCATTGAAGAGCGTTTCGACGACCCGCTGCTCTTCGAACCGGGAGAGGGTTGGGATTATGGATGCGGACTTGATTGGGCGGGCAAATTGGTAGAGCAGCTTACCGGCATGTCTCTAGAAACGTACCTAAAACTACACGTGTGGGCACCACTGGAAGCATCTAGCTTCACCTTCTGGCCAAACGCAGAAGGGAAGAATCACAAGATCGCTACCCTCACGGAAAGAAACGCAACTACTGGGAGGCTCGAGGTGTATCCTAACGTCCTGACCTTGAATCAAGGAGTCGACAGGGAGTGCTTCGGAGGTCATGGGGCTTATTGCAGCGCAGGAGATTACATGGAGCTCCTCTATTCCATCTTCAGCAACGACAGACGTGTGCTCCAGCCCGATTCTGTGGAAATGATGTTCCAGGCCAACTTGTCGGACCAAAGCAGAGCGGCTCTACAGGCAGATTTCGACAGGCGGAAACTAACCATTGGCGACTTCTACCGCGGTGAGGTCTACAATTGGGGATTGGGAGGAATGTTGATCGACGGTCGTCGTTCAGAGGCGGAGTGCCCACGGGGACTAAAGACTTTGGTATGGGGTGGTGGAACGAATCAATTTTGGGTCAGCTTTATGTCCTCTCCTTTTCAAATGTTTTTGCTAAACGTAAGTTACAGTTTATTGATCGAACCAACGGCTTCTGTGGTCTCATCATGTCTCACGTTCTCCCACCTCAAGATCCTCAGATCGAGGAAATCATTGGCGCATTTCAAAGACATGTTTACAAGTCAAACCATGATCATGGTTACCGAAGCTTTCTGTAGTATGGCTACGCAATCATAACACTCCAAACCTGGCCCATGCTTCTAGCAGGGAGTTGTGAGCCGGGAACCGGTTCCCGACATTGAGAGTTCGTCATGAAAGTTATATGAGGATAGGCAAGGGCCACAAAACGGCAAAGTTGAACCGTTTCTGGACTTTCAGCATCGGCCGCAAGGTCTAAGCTTATAATTCATTCTTCTAAAACAATGTTGCAAACGCCGCAATCTGAATATTTCCGCGACTTATTTCAGGACCCTCTCCATATCTCAAAATTGGCCCCTCTTACGCCCGTAGCAGTACTTTCCAACGTTCGGGTTGGTGTTGCTGCAAACACAAGTGCCGGCGGGAGCGCTATGAAGTTGATTAGCCAATATTCTAAGCATCTGAACAGACAGACACTAGTGTCATAGTAAAACTCACTTGTGCTTTTGGAACTTGTAGATGAAGCCATCCGGAGTCTTCACGGAGGCAGTCGGACACTGCTCGTTGCATGTCTCGTCAATAGGGACAGAGTTCTTTGGGTTGTTGACGCAAATGGCCGCATTGGTCCAGATGCAGGCATCAGCACCCTGCTCGTGGCAAGCTTTGAGCTGAGCTGTACAGCAAGAGCCAGTTCCGACTTCGTAGGCGAACGCGGGCACAACCGCGGCCAGGAGAGCAGCCAAGAAGAAAGAAGACTGCATTGTGGAAAAAGAGCGAATGCTACAGTTGAAGCTTTCTGAAAAGAGTGTGGGTAGCGTCAATCGATGTTGGTAAAACGAATGTGAAAGTTGTTGTTCAGATGGTTCAACCAATCTTAGCCGCGGTGCGGCTTGTTCTCATATATAGAGTAGTGCAATTCGTAACTACGGAGTACAGTCAGATTGGATGAACCCCAGCCACGGAACGCGCGAGTAATTACAATAGGGCATCGCCAGGCTCCAAGTCTTGGCTCAATTGACTTGCAGAATCACCGCCGAAGCTTTTTTACCTTCTTGGAAGAAAACGGGGTAAGCAGGAGCCGGTGCAGCATTCGAAGCCGAATTATGCGATGTCTCCGGCTCGCCGGCGAGAATGTCCCACTGGAAAGTCGGGATCGTCTCATGGTTCGAGATTAAAGTTTTGGTTGCATTCTGAATGGCCCTAGCAGCTCTCGCTTTGGGGCCTGAGTCCTCGTAAACCGGAATCGCCGAAAAGAGAATCAAGCTAGAAACCAAACTACAACGACTAAATAGAGGATTGTGAGTGTTATGGCAATGGCCAATGTAACAGCATGGACGGTCCTAGTAAAAAACAAAGGAGGCCTATTCATCGTGCATGTACGTTTGACAAAGATGGGGGTATCACGAAACATGCGCAGTGTTGGGATGTTAGGCATTCTACGGCATCAGAAGCCTGTGACAACCTAAAGGTATCATAGTTGTCAGACAAATGGATGTAGAGCGCAGAGAGAATTCTATCAAAGTCTCACCAAAACCAAGACAGGACCCGAAGTTGTACAGACTCTTTCAACTCCGCTTACTAGCAGCGACTAGGGTAGAGGACCCAACGGACAGCTCATCAAGGTCGTCTAATTCAAGTCACCCATCAGCCTCACATATCCTCTCTCAGAAAGTAACTCCTTTTAGATGATTACACTAGGCACTAAACCGGAACTTCTCCCAATTAAGCGTCGAATTCTAAATCTCGTGATGACACTCACCTTTAAAGCCGCAAGTTCTTCTGGCGACTGACTATAGAAAATGTGTCTGTGCTGGGCCTTGGCAGAAACCATATCCGGCGCTCACGACTCGCGAGCAGGTGACATACAGATCAATTGAAGATCTCTCGACCATTCAGGAAAAGTGGAAACTTCGTAACTGATAATCCAATTTGATTGCTACTATGGCGGGAAAACTTAATGATTCACAATTATCGAAGAGATAGTTGTAGATGTCCGGAGTCAGCCCGGACTCGGGCTTCCTCAACTCACATAAGAATTGGTCAATTTCGTCCAAGTCTTTGTTGTGTTCTCATCAACATCCAGTCTCTCACTTACACACGATCGCTTCAATTACACGCTCATTTTAACACATCCATTCAAAAAAATTTCGACCAAAGTCGGAATCATGAGAGTCCTCCTCCCTCTTTTCCTCTTCGCGGCCTACGCCCAGGCCCAACTCATCTTGGGCGCCCTCGCCCTGATCGAGCTCACCATCGAAGTACTCGAGGCGGCGGAAGTCGTCGCCACCATAGATGTCTCCGTCGACCTTGCCGTCACCGGCGCCGAAGCGGCTGAGACTGCCGCCGTCGAGGCCACCGTCACCAACGTTGGCACGACCGTGACCCGCGCCGGCGAGGCAGGCATCGAGCTCGAGGGCGATGCCGCCATGACCGGCTTCGGCCGCGTCTCCCGGGAGGGTCCCGGCTTCACCCAGGGAACCTTCACCTACCGCCAGCAGTACCCCCTCGGTGTCGGAGCGGGTCGCCGCTCGACTGCCAACCCGGAGATCAGCCTCTCATGGGGGGCCCGGACCAACGGTGTCCGCAGCGGAAACACCAACAGCATCCAATTCACCAACCCCACCATTTCCAATGTACGGGCGCTCAACCCCGGTGGAAAGGGCACCAGCATCCGTGTCCGATCCTCCAACACTAGGCTCCTCGCTCCGAAATAAGTGTCGCCATCATGTTTGGTCCTAGGTTCATTCAAGAGAAGGGGTACTGGGCCATTGGTAGTTTCTCGTGTCTGGAAAAAAACTTTAGACTTGTATTTGTCAGTAGGGAGGCGCTTGAAACAACTCAATACACAATCAATACAAGATGGCCTCTCAAATGATCCAAATCCGCTTGTTCCTGATATAGACAAGCTAGGCGTACACGGTATCACTAATAACGTCTACTTCGCCTACAAAATATGAAATGAAGCTACATGTGTGAAATCGTTTTCGGCGCAAGGCCCGGCAAGGACTCTTAGCCTTACCCGTTATGTGAGCATGTCTCATTAATCTTCTGATGAAGCGATGGAATTATTTTGGATTATCACTGAGCCTGTCTACGTCATGGAGTGAATCAAAAGTCGATCCGTTAGGCGGAGCGGCCGATGCAAGGCTCATTCAACGTTCGACGTGCCATAGATGGTTGCGAGTATAAATGCACATTACTAATACCCCCCGGGCAACGCACCCTATCTTTCTCGTACATAAGCCCTGTCCCAGTCGCCTGTCTCGAATGAGTTGAAGAATCGACGTTCTTCTTATGTCTGTGTCTGATAGATGAATGAAGAATATGTCGCTGGTCGCGTTTGTTTCAAATAGTACATACTAATGTTGACAATGTCTCCATGTATTAAGTGCCTCCCTGTTTGCCCCGTGGGTTGTGTTAGGTCTAGACTGACCATCAAAGAAATCCAAAATAGGGTTCTGTTTGGGTCTTCCTATGCGCCATCGGCTCTACAATGCATCAGAGTATCAATATATCCAGACGTAAGGCAGAGGTAGACCTCCTGCCCCTTGAACAAACTACTCGAGCTCAATCGCGCTCATTGGTCATGATTATGCCCTATAAGTCATTGGTCGCTCAGCATACCCTCTGCTCGCTTTCACGACAGCCCCGCATATTTTCACTATCTAGCCTTTCCCACGATATAAGCTCCAACTAAGCTTTACCACTTATTGTTGCCGGTAGATCAGAACCATCACTTAAGGAGAATTGAGAATGCATGGGGTGGCGTGGATATTAAGTTACATGATACTTATATTGGCTGTATATTTGGGCTCAAGGTCCACGGCCATCATCGGCAGATTATTCCAAGATCATTTACGGCGCCTCTTGTGGCTTTGCGGTGGATAAATGGTTAGCCGGTTCCAGGTTGTGTGCCAGCAGGCTCGACTGCAAGAATTTCGATGTCATTGCCCAAAGGAGACAAGGACACTTGACGAACATGCCGCTCCCTTTAATTCCGATCCAAAATGCGACTCAGGAATAGAGATCGACAGATGTCTAATCTTACGGCACTGTATGTACAGTGGACTTAGGATGCCGGCAAAAGTCTCCCGCCGGCTCCTGGGGTGATCCAGGTTGATATGACTCTCAACACAAGATTCCTTTGCACCAGATTTGACCGCCACATCCCGGAAAGCATATATCTAAAGGCTATGCTCTCATCTGAAAACATTCCAGATTGAGGTTTCGACGAATTGTCTCCATATACTAGCTGAGTCTGGGCCATGGACAGAGATGGATATATCAATGGAGACAGCATACTTATCTGTCAGGCGGAACTGACTGCAGCGTGACGGACGCCGCGTAATGGAGTAGCTAGAGACCTTACCAACTCTAGAAGCAGAAGTCATCAACCGCTAAAAGCCTCCCGCGTTTAATCTTGGATCTCTCAGCTCTCGGGAAGACGGGATTGAGCGCTGTAATTGCCGGTGGATTCTAGAACTCAATTTTAGACTGGCCAAAGTAATACTGTAGACTTCGCGACCTCACAGTAGCTATCGACTGTTCATATAAGTCAAGTTACGAAACTGCGTAACCAGGCATTGAGATATCACCCGCAATCCATGTGAACCAAAAGCCTGGTGTTGGCAATGGCCTTTGTATTATTACATAACGGCATAGCCGAAGGCATCCCGCCGGGCCAACTTATTTCCCGCCCCCACAACATGTCAAAAAAGCCTACCAAGGGGAAGTAGAATGCCGAATTTTCCATGCGGTCAATTATCGTACGAATCATGCGTGTTGAACTGTTACATCTCATCTGAAATATCCATGGCAAAAACAGACTTCTAGCTTGTCCAACGTCAACGGTAGCCGCTAAATGTGATGTAAGCTACCACAATGCACAGACGTGATTTTGGCCACACGTACAATCAACTGATAATTACCGTGCTTGCTTCCGTGGCATATTTCGAAAGGCGATCTTTCGCTCCTATAATTCTGGAAGCAAACATTCAGTTTGACCTCCACTAAACTCAATCAAATCGTTCTGCTATTCCTGCCCCCAAGGTATTGACTGATACATGACCGAAAACTTAGAACCAGTGTAGACGGACTGCACATGGGACCTGATCTTTTTCGAGCAGCCCCAGCCGAGATTATGTATTTCAACCATCATAACTCCAACCACAAGAATGGTCTCGGAGCATCAAAACTTGAATGTGACCTCAGAAACAATATCCTTTGATGCATTCCTATAAAGATCTCAGCATTGCAACGGCAGAGTGACTGCGTTTCCGCTTAGTACGAACCGCGACAGTGTACGCGACGCAAGTCTGCAAAGATGATTTTTTAGTAATTGAGAAACAGTAGTATGGGTGTAGGAGTGGCGTACACATCCTGACGAACTCATCGAGCAACACTGTTCGGGAGCATCGCGAACTGGATGGGGGTGCCCCCGAACGACCTTGGAGCCTGAGGGTTCTTTTGCGACCAGAGCGGCAGCAGCCAGCGATATGAACACGAAGAAAATTCTTCCCTTCATTCTGAATATTAACGTGACTCAAATAAAGCAGACAAGGAAGTAATCAGTAAGCAAGGTCGTAGAAGGCTGTGAACTTCGAGCAAAAGCCTTACCAAGCGTCAGTCCACATCACTTAACTTATAGCTTGGACTATAAGCTCTGTCGAAGACATACCAAACGACAGCTAGAACTCCGTACGCTGCATTCAATCAATTTAAGTTCTGCTTCCTTGGATAAAAATGACTCGTTTGCTTTGGTAGGAAACTGCGAGAGAAGAGCAACGTCGGTTCGTCAGAGTAAAAAGAGAAATTTGGCCATTTCGCCTTACAGATCAATTAAGGTAGTCTGGAGATATCCGATGTTCCGAGTGATCAACTTCGTAGTGGCCCGACGTCCGATGAACTCCCACTAGAAATATGTCTGAAGATGTCTCAATGTTTGCGAAACGATCAGCAAGGACTGAAGGCTGTGTGCAACGCATGGGCGGGCCACTGCAGCATTGCTGCCGGGATTCCCAATTTCACCCACATTACGATGATGTCGAGTCATAGCGAAGTCCACCTATATATCAAATGGTATGGGCCGCGCAGATTCTTTCAGAACTCATCAGGGTAGAACCAAATAGAGGCGTTAATTAAATAAGAAGGGCCAGAACACTCTGAGTGTTTCCATGGCGGCGCAAATGCCGAGTTCGCCCATATGGCTTTCCCCCTCAGCCGTTGCCCGCTCAAGGCTTTCCCACAAGCGCTACGGTAATCAGAATAAGGACCGAAAATAGATTCCCAGACAGATCTCTCCCTCAAAGATCATTTTCCAAGTGCAGAACACAAATGTCTCTTCGCGTTGCATACGGTCTACTTACTTCCCTCATCGTGGGATCAAAGTTTGGCGAGGTGGTGGGGAAGATGTTGACAGAGTGCCGGTAACGAGAGCACAATGTGCCGTCGACTTAAAGTATCGGACATTAAGTTCACTTTTGAAAGTTCTGAAACTTCTCTATGACGTTTGACGAGCTTGGCGCTTTATTAAGTTGAGACTATAAACACATGTCGTATAGTCACGATAGGGGGCATCGACGTTGAATGTAGAGAACGGTTGTCTATTGGAAGTATGAAATGGGCACGAGGCTCGCCCTGAAATAGAGGGTGCGAGCGAGTGTGGATCTCGGTGATTATGTAACCGAGGTCACGTGACGTGTGGTGAGGCCACGGATGGTTGAAGCCATCACGACAACACATGAAATGTACATATCACCGAAGGCATATGTGTCCTAGCCTCGAGGCCTCAAGCATGTTGTTTGATAGTCTTTTCGATAGCTGTCTTGTCTCGGAAGAGTAGTTCGTCGAAGGTGGTTCCAATAGGAAATGCCGGGTAAAACGTCGGGGAAAGCTGCGAAACATGATTTAACATGTGAACTAACGACTGATGATCACCATGTTTTCATTTCTTATTCGAAGTTGAAATTTCCGAAGAACCCCACGGACGTGCAGGCCGACTCTCATTCCACAACATCTCGTTGTCGGGGCTTGGGGTCAATCTACGGAGTTATTCCGAGAGATGGCCCGGCTCCAGAAGCGAGGAAGACGCCTGCATTAGCTCAAAAACCCTTTCTCCATCATCCCCTAGACTTTAAGGACTATTATTAGTACCTTTCATAGAATACTTTATCCTTCTTTGCAGTTATCCCCGCTAAAACAAGTTCAATATCATCTTCAAGTGATTGAAGCTCCTTCAGTGCGAAAATAGCAGACTTTCACTTGCTCCTTCTACCCAACTCAACAGACTCACGCTGCTCCATCAACAGATTTCTACACCATTCACGAATAGGCTAAGATACACTCTATTCAAACGATATGGCATCGAGTTCGATCAAAGTTTATGAGGCACCCTCCAGTCTCCCAATAAACCAAGACTTCATCGTTGAAGCCTGTGCTTTCGTAGCATCGAGCGATGTTCCTCAACAATGGCGCCCCGTCCCAGCGTATGCTGTCGATGTTGCAAACGCTAACACCACGAGAAATGCATTCAACAGACACACAGTGGCGCTAGCTTCATTCGACTTGAACGCACCGACAGCAATCAGGATTGAATATAAAGCGAGTACCATTGAAAAGGCAGTCATTCGACCTCTTTCTCTGGGCATTACAGCGCAAGTCGAGAATGATACAATCGTCTTTAATCTCGATCAACCGCGAGACTTGATGATAGAGATCAATGGAGACAAGTGGAAAGCGCTTCATCTCTTGACGAACCAGATCGACAAAGATGCGCCAACGGCTGACTCGGAGGACATCTGGTACTTTGGGCCGGGCATCAATCAGGGCTCGGCATATTCAAAAGTCGCCGATGGGGTCAACTTGATGGTTCCTTCAGGCAAAACAGTGTATCTGGCTGGTGGCGCTTTCATCACCTGTCGGCTGAATTTCATTGACGTTTCCAATTCTTCTGTCCGAGGTCACGGGTTTATCCTCGGGCCAGAGGGTGGGTACGTCTACCGAGAGCTTGGCGGCGCCATCCACATGAGCGGAGCCAGCAACATTCAGGTTGAAGGGGTCACTTCTCTTGGCGCGAACGGCTTCAGTCTTTGTGCTGGAGAATGTAACAACATTCTTGTCAACAGATACCGGTCCTTTTCATTTGCAGGAAATGGCGACGGAATCGACTTCTTCTGCTCTTCGGACATCACTATCGCAAATTGTTTCTTACGGAACTCGGATGATACCATCGCGCTGTACTCCCATCGCTGGAACTGGTATGGTGACTCAAACAACATCACGATCCGCGACTGTGTGTTGCTGCCGGACATCGCTCATGCCATCAACATGGGTACACACGGCAACCCTGCCAAACCAGAGACCACCAGCAACATTCGCATAAGCAACATCGATATCCTGGATCACGAAGAGAATCAGCTATGGTACCAGGGGTGTATCGCCATCAACGCTGCTGACGAGAATCTTTTCCACGATATCAATATCGAGGATGTTAGAATTGAGAGGATCACGAAGGGGCAGCTTATCAATATTCGTGTCATGCAAAACGCGATGTGGACTACTGCTCCAGGTCGCGGTGTTCGCGACGTTCACGTCAAGAACATGTCGATAAACCTGAAAGACTCGAAGGTTGTCAATCCATCATTGATAATGGGGTATGACCAAGATCGGATGGTGAAGAATGTTACGTTCGAGAATTTGAGGATTGACGACGAAATCATACATGAAGAAATGCCGAAGCCTAAGTGGTACATGGTGGAAGATCTTGTGCCCCTTTTTGCCAATGAACACGTCGAAGAGCTGAATTTCAGTAGATTAGCAGAATAGAAGATCAATTATCAATTGGTTTTGAAGATCAATGGCATCTGAAAAATCCTCAGAATATTGAGTGTGTATAGTATCAAACTTGGAATGGCGATTTTCAGCATCTTTGAACTCCAGTCGTCGAAGGCTTTTACAAAAGTCTGCCGACATTCTTCAGAAGATGTGAACACCCCATGCATTCCGGGAATACTCCTACATAATCATAGCGAGAGCAGCCAATATTCCAGACAGCCAGGAAACAGGCTTGAATTTTTCAGAAGCAGATGTAGGAACCTGGACGACTGTAGTTCCAGAGGGCGAAGTTTTAGTAGTTGAAGAGTGGGGAGTCTGTGTAGCTTCTGAAGCAGGACCTTGGCTTGCCGACTGAATCGCTGAACCTGAAGTTGGCACCCAGGTCAACCCCGATACTGTCGCAATGTTGTTGGAAGCTGAGGTTGTGGCTCCGATAGCGTTCGATTGACCTATTAGACGATTAGAAACGCGAATGACCAGGCATCTATTTAGCAGCTTACCGTTGACAGAAGTGGTTCCGATTTGGCCCACTGTTGCTGTTGGAAGGTTGTCGTAAACGGAAGTGGACTAGAAAGTATATCTATAAGACTCATGAAGAATTCTGGAGTGTCAGGAGGATTCAAGGCTTACAGAGCAGTCAGTCGTCTTAGTTGTCAAGGTCCTGACCTCTGTGCTCAAGGCCGCAGTTGTTGCTGTCAACGTCGCAAGGGCATATGAAAATTCTCTTTTCATCGTGGCTGCAAGATATTGGTATTCTTGAGGTTACCAGGAAGTGTACAGAATTGATGTTAATGGAAACGAAGGATGCGGAAGAGGCCAAAGCTGCTTTGGAGGTCTGTTGGAGGATGAGGCAGGCTCGCCATTGAACTTATGTACTCCGTCATTAACCTACCTCCCAACCCAGGCGATTTTACTTACATCATAAAGAGTCTGGTATCTGAGAAGAGTATGGAAGTTCGGTTTGGAATTAATTAGCTCCAGCTTCAAGCAGAATCCGGATGATCATGCAACGAAGGCGTACTCAGAGGGTTCATTGAGTGACAGGCAAGATTTGACCGTTTTCCGCATCCGTCGCATGCAGTAAGATCACAGAATGACGTGGAATCTTTTCACCTGAATTTTCAGCTCGCCAAAAAGAATATATCATCGGAAATCTCCGGCCTCGGCGTACCAGGCTAAGGCTCATTTAGAGAATTTGGCCTCACTCAAGAGGAAAGTAACGATTCGAAATTCGGTTTTGGCAAGACGCTTAGCCATAAATCAATTAGTAGAGGAGTCATCGGAAGTTGAATGATGCCCGACCACAGAGCATTGGATCCTGAGGAGCAGCTGATACGGATCTTCACTAACTTCGTTGGCTCTAGCAGCTCGTATTGACTTCTCTTGGACAGACAATACCCATCTTTGAAGCAAAGTTCATATTTGGTAAATACTGCTTTCAGATATTTCAGACATGATATGAGAAGAAGAAACATGTACTTGAGACTTAATGGGCCTGTTCATCTCATCTCTCACAAGTCTCACGCTCTCATCGCGATTCGTGAATCCTGCATTCGAGGCCAAGTTAAGGTACATAGAGTCTCCGTCATCCTCAGCTTGACGCCAAGCATAGTACCATTCCGACTCCAAACTAGCCCGAAGATCGTCTTCATGCTTTGCCGCAAAATCGTTATGAATATGTACCCCCCCACCCCCCTCCCCCGGGTAATGTGCGAAAGCCAGGGGATGAATCATTTGCATGGGTGTATGCATCTCAAATACCTAAAGTGATGTTAGACATACGGTCTCTGAACAGGGTTTCCGAGGATTATTGTACCCCGTAGGAGACCAAAATTATTAAAACATAGATAGCGCGGTCTATCGACTGGTATGGCGGTATTTTGCATAGGGAAGATGAGCGCGCTACTTTGGGGAGGTCTCCCCACCTTAGGTTCCAAAACGAACATAAGACGGAACAACATTTCGCGAGGACTGGCTAAGAATATCGCAGGACCCATGGTTTCGCGACCATACCTTTCAGAAGTTACTGAGGTGTCCCTAGGCATCTCTCGACTTTACCCCCAGGAAGGAACTGTAAATATGTTAGCACCGAATAGACGCAAGATAGACGCGCAGCATCGCTTGGAATCTTAGGCTTTCCTGGTATACTGGTATTACACTTCTGATGAATGGATTATTCAGCATTCAGGGAGAGGGATTACAGGTACTCATCCACCTACCTCCTAAGTTGAATACTCAATTCCGGTTGAGCTTGGGGAGAAAGCGCTCGTCGATCGTCAAGAAGCGTCGTTTTTGCACGCACATCTAGTCTCATTTGCGTTCCCCTACAAGAAAGTACATGTACATGGTTCGAACGCCCTTCTCAGCTGTCGATGAGTTATTTCTAACCGTAGACTAGTTTCTGGGTTGAATTTGCAAGGGACCTGGAAATGTCTCATAGCTCCCGTACACGATCTCTTCAACAACGCACCTCGTTGCACTCCCTTTTTCCTTTACGGGGGTAGTCTCTATTGCTCATGCATGAATGTGGTGATCGTGGCTCAATCCGTTCACACGGCAATATGACCGGTAGAATCGGCATTGTTTTTTCCCTTTGCGTCTGCCCAAAGTGCTTTTGGGCATGCGCGACGTTGCCGCCATCCCACGAATGCCGACGTGCTGGTACTGCCAACTCTTTCAGGCTACCTTATCTAACCTCTCGAACCGGGCAGCAGTGTTCATGGGATGTCTTGCTAGCCTGTCAGGTATTGCGGACAAGGGGGTGCATCGGAGTTAATAGGATCCGGGAAACATCCAAGCTTCAATTTCTAGCTCGAAACTCTCATGGCCACACAGACTCTATTAGCGCAAACACAATCACAAGGCTTTCGCATGGATGACTACGGAATTGTGCTTTTGAACCAGGACGCAAACACATACAGTCCTGAACTAGATGTGTTGCCGCAACAAAATACTTCAGGACGCAAAATATCGTCTCAAACTTGCTGTAGCTACTACTTAATTGCCAGAGCGCGATTTCGGTCACTATATCACCGAACTGGCTCTATTTTCTGAGATAAGTGGCATTCACTAACATTCTATGCATCAGTACATGTACTTCTCTAATGCTACATAATTACATGAACCCCGGCCAGCATCTAATTACATGACCGCAATTGGGTCTTGAGATCACCTAGCAGAACGCTCCATATCAAGACTCAAAAACCTATTCCGGAAGCGGAATCGCCTTGGCGCAGTTCAAAACAGTACAACAATAGTTAGAGGCTCTGAGATGCCAGGAGGGGGAAACTGGAGAGCCTACACATCTCCAAACTCGGGCTTATGAGGCTAAAAATTTTGTCGATGGTCACTCTCGGCCCGTCCAGCAGGCTTTGGGTTGTCCTTCAAAGACGTTTGAGGCAAGGGCTAAAGCTAGAAACAAAACTCAGGAGAATGTTGGTAAAGGGTGATCACTTGAAGCTGGCCACTATAGCGCAAGGCTAACGTGCTTGCAACATCCGAATGCAATGCTCGTATACTAGGAGCACCTCTCCATTCCTGCCGGCGGCACGGCGTTCACCGGCCTTGATGTACGGATCCATGCGCCTCGTTCAATCCAGTTGTTTTAACCGGGCCCTTGAAACAACAACTAGTACACCAGGTAATACGGTGTTTCTCAACGCCCATATATTTGAGGAAGCCTTACTGTGATCCCGAGCTGCGATGCGCTTGTTTTGGCGTCGAGTTGAGTGGTCAGGCGCTACGTGGATGCTAAGACTCTTCCCTTCGTTCCAGACGCCATGCTAAGCGCCAGGGTTACACGGTTTCGGCCCGGGAACCAACCAGCATCAGGCATAAGCTAGGACTCTACCCGAAAGAGATACTTGATTCGAGAATATATGCGACCGATAAACACGTCTTGCAGTAATGTCTGATGTGACCTGTCCATTAAGGATCATCTAAAGCTTACGGAGTACCTGCCCCAGCAAAATGCCCCAGTAAATGCTAGGCCACTTTCGTAGGTGCCCGGCCATGTGCTCGGACAGAGAGCATTTTGCTTCCTTCTTTCCCGGCTCAGACCAGTACTTCAGGGCAATTGTCTCAGCTCCCCCACGGTGATCTTTCCGCTAGCTATTTTCTGACTGATAGCACGAGTCAGCTTTGTCAATTTCCTTTTGGGGTTATAATTTTGCTGGAAACTCAGGACCCAGTACGGATTACCATGGTTTGTTATCACGAAGATTGTTCCGTCAGTGACAAGAAAGTGTTCTTCAATGAGCGACGTCGTTTAAATTTCGAGCCGTGCTCGTGATTCTGCTTCTCCTGCTCAGTTACTAAGATATCCACATGTGCGCGTTCGAGTTGCCGGATACAACCCAAAGCTTCCGACGCTTGTACGCCATCATATCATATCTCACAGTTGCTTGACCATCCGCTAATTCGGTGGAGTCATCTGATGGGTGACGCTGTTTTAGCCCATTCAAAGTATCTAGAGCACAAGGTCCGGGTGACGTCTGCGCTGGGATTAAGAGTTAATGATAGTAGTGTCAACCAGCAAGGGTGATACCTTGAAAAGTACGTACCACCCCTGGAATCTTTGATTAGAGTGAATGCCTTGCATTTTCGCAACTATGGTCGGTTTTTGATCAGAACAGCGGTTCTGATTCCCGCGGTTTCCGGTTCATCCGACATCAATTACCCCCAAGGCTTTAAGCACGTCAGGCCTGGAACTTGACCCAGCTATTGAAAGTTTAAATCACGTCGTCCACCTAATTGCGGAGCACAAGTATCTAATAGAGGATTGCTATGTATGAGGGGTGTACTTAAAGCCAGGCGTGTTGCAGATCTGAACTTCTGAAGAACCCCCAAGGCCGAGCCATCGCCGGATACCTTAGCTGCCAAGGAGAATAACACTATTCCCTTTGAACCAGCATTGACTGGCATCAATCGCCAAGTATTTGGCTGCATGTACACAGGAACTCTCTCTAGAATCGTTCTGTCATGATATTCTA